GTTCAGAATGTCTTTAAATGCCAATCCCAATGCATCTTTTTCGTTATCTACATATGTATATTAAAATCACCAACAATTATAGGACTTTATATGCAGCCAGTAGTAACTCTGATAGAAAATCGCAGATCGATTGCTCGATTTATTTTAAATAAATAAATTAAAACAATAAAAAGCACAATAATTCATTAATAATAAGGTTCACATTATTCATATGCTAGAAGGAACCAGGCCAGGGTTTTCTGGTATGTTTTTTTTCTGAATTACTTTCATATTATTATTATTAATTTATTATTGTTAGTAGTATAGTTACTATAGGTATTTCTATTAATTATTAAGTAATTGTATTATTTAATTATCATAATTATTCATTAACACAAATAATACATAATTCAATTGATAAATATAAACAATAAAACGCATCACAAACAATTAATAATAAGATTTGTATAATTCATTTGCTAGTTCATTTTCTGGCGTTTTTCCCCTTAAATTACTTTTATATTATTATTATTATTATTTTCTTTATCATTTCATTTATAGTTATTTATTACTACAAATAATGCATAAATAAATAAATATAACTAATAAAAAGCACAGCAAATAACTAATAAGGTTCACATTAAGGTTTGTTAGGGGGAACCGGTGTTTTTTTATTTTCTAAATTATTATAATTAATTATAATTGCAAAAAGTATTTGTATTAATTATAATAAATTATATTATTTAATTGTCATAATTATTTGTTACCACAAATAATAAATAATTATTTTAATAAATATAAATATTTTTAAAAATCACATACAATTAATAATAAGGTTCACATAATTCCAATACTAGAAGGAACCAGGCCAGAGTTTCTGCTGTTTTTTTGTTTTGTTTTTCTGAATTACTTCAGGTTGGCTTAATATTTAAGCTGTTTTTCTGTTCTGATTCTGTCCCATTAGACATAACATATGTCTGCGAGCTCATAATCATTACTTAGGTGTTTCGAAAAATGAAAGTGACCATACGGCACAGTTTATAAAAAACAACTTTATAGAGATTACTGTTATTGTATCAGCCTTAAGGAGCTTATTGTCATTCCAGTATTGTATTTTTGAGGGGGTTAATGCACATGAAAATGAAATGACAAGCATATTACTTAATTAAATGGAAATCCATTTGGAAATGCCAGACGCCGCCAGCGAGTTATGATGTAAACGAGTAGCATTTACTACCATTTCTGCAATTAATCTGGTTTACTGGTTCTGACATACCTTTGGACTACCAGATGTCAAATCCATGAAGCCGCAGTAAAAGATAGCATGAAACATTAAATCAAATTTGTATTCTCACTCAGTGCCGCTGCTAGCCATTTTGGTGCCCTAAGCATAATTCCTTTATGATGCCCCCCCGCCCCCCCCTAAAAAAAAAAAAAACATTTTAATTTAGGATTTTCATTTAGGGGGGCTAAGCCCCCAATGAGGGTATGATTTATAAAAAAAATGCAAAAATTAAAAAGTAACACTTTAGTTTAGGGTCTAATGCTTACTATTAACTAGTTTCATTACCATGCAATGGCATGGTTTTATAATCACTGGGGTTCCGAATTTGAGGCAGGTTAGTTAGGGGTGTTCGGGGGAAATTTTGGATTTTTCTGAACTACAGATGTGCATTTTAAGATGTTGTGAAGGCAAAAAAAAAAAAAAAAAAAATATATCGATAACAACAGCTTTAAAACCATGTCAGTGGGCAGCTGATTATTTTTCTCTCCTCATCAGCATCACACTCTTTTTCTCTTTGTTTTTATCTTGCCCTGTCTCTTCCCCTCCTAAAGTTGGCTTTTTTAATTTTCTAAAGGTTACAATTTGTATTTTATTCTCAATATGTACACATTCATTATTAATCCTGTGGCTAACATGATGAAAACGGCTTTGTTCATGTTTCTTGTCCCCTCACAATGACAATAGCCTAAACTATTACACTAGGCTACATGTTACATAGGCCTATTTTCAGTTCAAAATAGCGAAATTAGACAAAACTATATTAGTTTGCCTAATTATTTTTTGTCATTCGTTTAACATTTATGACCTAAAAAAAACTGTCAAATAAAGTTAAGTTTAGCTACTTACATCTTATCTCGCACTTGACCGTACACTGAAGCGTCGAGTTGCACTGTTAAAATTCGCGCTCAGCGTCTGTGAACATAAAGCCCGCCTACTTTGATTTGATTGGTCATCTCAAATATTCTGACATTGACGAGCAGTGACAGACCAATGAGGCTCAGATGAACAAACACATGACACACACACACACACACACACACACACCCTGTCCTGTGTTTCTGACGTGCTCTCTGTCTCTGCTCGGCGCCGCTGCGGAATGAAGAGGAAGAACGCGCTGAATCTGATTATAACAAGAAGTTTGATGATTGGTTTTTCATTAGGCTATTTTTGGTGCCCCCTCAGCACTTGGTGCCCTACGCACAGCGCGTGATGCGCGTGGTGGGAGCGGCGGCGCTGTTCTCACTGCAACTAAAGGAAGAGCACATGCAGGTCTCTGATTGTGTAGGCAATGGTTCTTGCATATGGTCCTTTGAATAAATAATAAGTCACCAGTTGTGTTTGATAACCAACCCAGATCTTTATCAGGTCACTCAATCCACACATAAGTGTGACTAATGACAGTGAGGTTAGAGCGTATGACTGGCCGCTATATCAGCTGAATGAGTGTCCAGTAGAGAATGTTACCCTCCCGAAATCTCCAGTCATTTCCAGTCGTTAAACATTACCAGACGAGCTCACCTTGGGAATGCACCAGTTGAATTAGCTTAAGTCCTATAGTTCATTGTACACTTTCTGGATAGCAGTAGCCATCAAGTCTTGGTTACAAAAAGCTATTTCCATCGGTATTGCGTTATTAAAGGGATAGTTCACCCAAAGATTAAAATTCTGTCATTAATTACTCACCCTCATGTCGTTCCAAACCTGTAAGACTTTCGTTCATCTTCAGAACACAAATGAAAACTTTTTTGAGGAAATTGAGAGCTTTCTGTCCCTCCATTGACAGCTGCGCAACTGCCACTTTGACGCTTCAGAAAGTTCAGAAAGAGATCATAAAACTAATTCATATGAATTGAGCGGTTTAGTCTAAAACTTCTACTAGATTTGATCACTTTATATGATGAACAGATTGAATTTAGGCTTTTACTCACATATGAACATTCATCACTGAACATAAACAGAAGCTCCACTGTACCTGCTTTTTTGACGCACAAGAACAAACCTCTTGCAGAAGCTTAAAAATGATGCGTAACACAAGAATGAACCTCATTGGTTCTTGCTGAAGCTCAAACGTGCTGCGTAACACGAGAATGAACCTCATTGGTTCTTGTTGAAGCTCAAACGTGCTGCGTAACACCAGAATGAACCTCATTGGTTCTTGTTGAAGCTCAAACGTGCTGCGTAACACGAGAATGAACCTCATTGGTTCTTGTTGAAGCTCAAACGTGCTGCGTAACACGAGAATGAACCTCATTGGTTCTTGTTGAAGCTCAAACGTGCTGCGTAACACGAGAATGAACCTCATTGGCTCTTGTTGAAGCTCAAACGTGCTGCGTAACACGAGAATGAACCTCATTGGTTCTTGTTGAAGCTCAAACGTGGTGCGTAACACGAGAATGAACCTCATTGGCTCTTGTTGAAGCTCAAACGTGCTGCGTAACACGAGAATGAACCTCATTGGTTCTTGTTGAAGCTCAAACGTGCTGCGTAACACGAGAATGAACCTCATTGGTTCTTGTTGAAGCTCAAACGTGCTGCGTAACACGAGAATGAACCTCATTGGCTCTTGTTGAAGCTCAAACGTGGTGCGTAACACGAGAATGAACCTCATTGGTTCTTGTTGAAGCTCAAACGTGCTGCGTAACACGAGAATGAACCTCATTGGTTCTTGCTGAAGCTCAAACGTGCTGCGTAACACGAGAATGAACCTCATTGGCTCTTGTTGAAGCTCAAACGTGCTGCGTAACACGAGAATGAACCTCATTGGTTCTTGTTGAAGCTCAAACGTGGTGCGTAACACGAGAATGAACCTCATTGGCTCTTGTTGAAGCTCAAACGTGGTGCGTAACACGAGAATGAACCTCATTGGCTCTTGTTGAAGCTCAAACGTGGTGCGTAACATGAGAATGAACCTCATTGGCTCTTGTTGAAGCTCAAACGTGCTGCGTAACACGAGAATGAACCTCATTGGTTTTCGCATGTCAAGCGAACATGCTTGAGCTTCTGTTTACCACAACTGAGGAGTGAGTTGATGAATGTTTATATGTGAATAAAAGCCTAAATTCAATTTGTTAATCATATAAAGCAATTGTGTCTCTTTAGAAAATTTTGGACTAAAGCGCTCAATTCACATGGATTTATTTACGTTCTCTTTATGAACTTTTGAAGCGTCAAAGTGGTAGTTGTGTAGAGGGACAGAAAGCTCTCATATTTCATTAAAAAGATCTTCATTTGTGTTCCGAAGATGAACGAAAGTCTTACGGGTTTGGAACGATATAAGGGAGAGTAATTAATGGAAGAATGTTCATTTTTGGGTGAACTATCCCTTTAAGGCCTTTTGCGACAACATGCCCCAATACAGCAGCTCATATTGTTAAACTATATGGGGTAAGTTGTCACTGTGGAATCTGCTAGTAGCATGCAAACACAAAAATTAGGGTTATAGTTTTATATTTATATATTTTAATTGTATGATATTTATATATTATACATTTATATTTGAAATATTTTATTTAGCCTATCATTTATACACATTAATAAATGTATTCCTACAGATTTTTGTTTGTATATAAATTAATATTTTTTGTGTTTATATACATAAGTCTCCAGGTGGCAGACCTCTTATTATGAGATGCAAATTAAGCCATTTATTCTTTATGAATTCTTCAGAGCACAAAGAGTTAACTGTGGGAGGTTCTGTCAGCAGATTTGGGTGGAGTGAACTTGGCCAGCCCGTGTGTACACTTTTCTTCTTCAGTAATTAGCTAGGCTTCCAGCAAAGCCATGCTTCAGCATCTTCGAGAAGAACCCATCACGACCACAGCTCATCTGTTGTAAAATTACTGTTTATTTTCAGTTCCCTGTCAGAGATGGGCGAAATCAGTGAAGCGTCCTTACTGGATTACATCTGTTCCTGTGGAGGAAAAGTCAAAAATTCTGATCTGTCCAAAACATATAAGCATTTTATAAACCATAGCGATTTGCAGCTACGTGGTGAGTAAATGAGAATATGACATTTTTCACATTTGCTTTACACCTAATCTACAATGCAAGCACGCGACGCAGCGCGAGACGCGTTTTTTGCGTTTAGAAACACTAGCTACACTGAATGAAACAAAACGCGCGGGGTCTTTTTATACGTTTTTTTAATAAACTCAATTTTAATGTGAGATGCCGTCATAAAAACGCAACACTCGAGCGGGCGACGCAACTGAGGCAGTGTAGTATAGACCAACTGTTATAGACATTTTAATTTAGTCGAGTTGCTAGTAGTGTAAATGAGGTGTTTTGGGTGGCAAGTCTCTGGCACCTTTTCTCATTCTAAAATCAGCATACTGAGCTTTTGCTCTGCTTGAGGTCTGAGTAAATGGTTGTTAGCGTCTTAAAAAGTAACTGTGGCAAACATCTGCTTTAGATTAGAAAAGCTTTACCAACAGATAGAATTACACATTGGAATTGTGTCATTTCCTTCGCTCCCTCAGGAAGGGCCAGGGCCCCCACATTCCCAAACCATGACAGTGGAGTTCTAAATAGAATATTCACTGACGGTGTAGTTTGTACTATTTGATCCATATTTCAATATCAAAATATGGCCATGTTAAATTGTTTAATGCATTAAACTGATTGGCATAACCACATTAAGCTGATATTCTGATTGACAAATCTGAATAACACATCTGGCATATGCCCATATATAGGCTAAAAGCGTGAATTTATTAATCTGCATATTCATATAAAGGTGATATTACTGACAGTTGTGGAAAAAACAAACTATTGGGAAAAAAAAACACGTATTTGACACAAGGAAGGACTGTATACATTAAGCAGAATATACCTAAATTCTGAGAATTCCTGTGCACATACTTAATTTGATTGCTGATGCTGACTTAATCTTTTCTGATTTTGCTTTTCAAATGGCTCAAATGGACCAAATGTTTTACTGATAGGCCTATAAGATGAAAAACGGACCAATATTTGCATCAAATGATATCTGTAGCTGCTTGTCTGATTAAGTGTGAACTCAACAGCCTTTTCAATGGATATTGCTTTTTTTTTTTGTGAATTACAAGTTGCGAATATTGCTCAAAGTTGGCATGAAACAGAAGTTGCAATAGTCTTTTCTTCCCTATTGTGATGTTATCCGAGGGAAACAGGTTCTGGAACAAGAAAAATGTATAGGGTGGGATTTGATTATGTCCATCAGGAATTGATTGGATGGTGGTTTGCTATTGGTGGATCTCATGTGAGTGACGGGTTGCCCCGCCCACGCACCAGTAAACACATCATCAGAGATGTCGCTGCAAGACGGTAAAGTTATTTTGATTAAAGATTACAAGCGCACACGAATAAAAATAAAAAAAATTGCACAGAGAAATCATTTGATAATAATAATAAATACTGCAGTATTCCATTTAAAAAAAAAGAAAAAAGAAAAAAAGATTTACCGATTTGGATTTCATGGTGACTTTAAAATCCCATTGTATAGTTATCATCAAGCATCTGTCGTTGAAAAACAAATAGTGGTTTAACCACTAGTTCTTTGTGTGTGAACATAAAATATTAATGTAAAAAATGAAATGACGTGTCTGCAATAAAGGGCTTGGCTGCTGCAAAGTGGGCCAAATAAAATAAAAAAACAGGCATGATGTTCTCATAAACCACTCAAACAGTAATTAAATTAGATGTTGCATTTAATCCTACATACATGTGTCAGACATAAATATATGAAACAATTATCCGTAATGGCTTTTAATGCTTCGTCCAGCTGTGCTTGTACAGTTGTGTACAGAGGTTTCAAAATCTGCCTTCATCCGGTACCATCTGACACAGCTAACCAATTATCATAATTATTCCCGGTTACCGCATCAGCCTGCATGACATGCTCTAATTCTGGGGTTATAATGACTCCAGTCCTTTTTAGGATGGTGGTTTTGATGGGATCTCGGGCAGTTGCTATATTCTCCGTGAGAACGCAGAGTCCTCATAGTTGGCCAGCGTAGACTAATACATTTGCTCAGAAAGCTAAACAGTGTTCCTCTCAGTACCATGACAGGAATTCTGTTGGCTACGACTGTTAAGTGTTGACTTCCCTTAGGGTTTCCTGTTGTTGTGGTGGATGCCGTGTTGCAATGTCATCCCTGTCTTTTTCCCCTGGCAGGAAAACGGAAAGGTTGTGTTTAAAGGTTGCATTCTCTATTTAAACGATCCAAGCCCTGATATGTTTTGCCTGTATGGCACTATCCAGTTTGAGTACTGTTTAACCCTTTATGGATCACATTGTGTAAACATGTGATGTGTTTGAAAGTATACCACATCCCCACTCTTCTACTGTTAGGTTTGTTTGTTTGTGGTATCTGGCTTTTGACATATAAAAAGGGTGAAATATTTCATAAAACAAGACCTATTTCTCAGGCGAGAAAGTCTCAAGAATGAGATTCTTAGTTTAAAATATTTTTTGTGTTATTTTTATTGTATTGTTCATTGAAAATGACATTTTATTGTCATTCATTATGTTCATTAGCAATAAAATAATTATTTAATAAGGTCATCGGTTATTAAAAAATGCTTTATTATAATGCTTTTTTCACTTCTACATGTTAACAAAATATATTAGTGCTGATATATCCACATCAATATAAAAGTAATCACTGATATCAATACTATTCAAGGAAAAACAGTGTTACAATGTTAAAATATAATAAAAAATGTAATTAATTCATTAAAACTAAATGAAAATGTGATTAAAACAAACAAAACATTTGATTAAAATAATAACTAAATAACACAAATTTGAATGAATGAATAAATAAATAAATAATACATCTAAAAGCACTGCAGTGAGTAAAAAAAATGATCATATTTGAGGGCATCAAAAATATTAAAGACCCTTGACCTAGACTATGCTATGCAGTTAATATGTATCGAGCCATTATAGGATTTTTTTCATATATATGAATACTAATTTGAAAGATTAATACTCCAGATTGTGCTTACCATGTTGACCTTCAACAATGTGTTTGTTGCCATGGTAACCAAACACTATTTCACAGAAAATAGCACCTGCAAACAACAGAAATCTTTGTGTTATGTATAAATGAAACAGGATCATTTAGAGTTAAAATGTGCCTTTATGAGAGAGTTTCCATGACGATCTGCCAAAATCATATGCTCAAGTTAGTAAAACTAGTGGTGGTTTTTAAACTATGGGTTGCAAATCGCCTAATTGTGGGGAAACAGCAAGTGGTTCAGACAAAGCGCAAGAATGCCATGTCAAAAAATATGAAAAATAAATGTTCTCAAGTTTGTTGGGTTCATAACTTGTATTTTCATATTTCTGGCATGGTTCATGAACAGATGACTCTTATGAGTCGGTTCGTTCGATGACTCAATCAAGCGGCTCACGAGTTAACAGTTTGACAAGTCTTTTACTGAATGGACTCCATCAGAGTCAAGTTAATTCACCTTTATTTCTATAGCGCTTTATACAATACAGATTGTTTCAAAGCAGCTTCACAGTGATAAACAGGAGAATGATTCAATCATACAAACAGTTCATTTCGGCTGTACTGCAGCTCTAAAAGAAAACACTTTCATTGTTCAGCTGAAGTCAGTTCAGTGTTGATTCAGTTTCATTGTAAAGATCATTCATTATTAAATTGGTTTATTTAATAAAACAGTGATCGTCCAGCTCAGTTCAGTTCTCATCCAATAGTGTCAGTCCAGTCAAATCAATAATATTGTTGAGTGGCTCCTGAATAAACACATGACTCCCTTACTGAACTGCAAGTTCCATGTCAAAGCTCATTGCGTCAATATAACTGTGTTGTGCCACCAAGAAAGCAAAAATAAATGTTCCTTAAGGCAATGGAATGAAATTGAAGTAGGGAAAATAAGTCTTTGGGATCTAAATAAAACTACGAGCCAGCGCTGGGAGGATCTGAGTGATGATCCGTTGGGAATGGTTGTTGAAAAGGCATATGAGCAACGCAGTAATGGAGGATTTGTTTGCGCAGGTCTCCTCCCCTGTCATTTTCTATTCTTGTATAGTAATTGGAGCCAGATTCTGATTTCTACTTGATGCAGTCCGTCTGTGCTGATGGGATGTTGCATAACATCACAAACTCCCACAGGCCAGGAATCAGAGTCCATTGTGTGCAAAAAACTAAATGGCTAATCTTACAAGTCAATAACTTGCAGACAGAACAAATCCATAAATAAACAAGCGTTCAAGGTGTAGTGTCAATCTCAAACATGTAAATTTTGCTTTTAAAGGGATGGTTCACCCAAAAAGGATCATTCTGTCTTCATTTTCTCACCCTCATGCCGTTCCAAACCTGTATGACTTTATTTTTTCCATTGGAACACAAACAAAAATATTTATTTATAAAATTTAAAGAGATAGTCCACCCAAATTTTGTTTTTGTTTTTTTTGTCATCATTGACATTTATTCAATTCGTTCCAAACCTTTATGACGTTATTTCTTCTGCTGAACACAAAAGTAGATATTTTGAAGAATGTTGTTAACCAAACGGTTTCGGTTCTATTTGACATTCATTGTATGGACAAAAAATATAGTGGAAATCATTGGGAACCGAAACGATTTGGTTACAGACATTCTTCAAAATATCTTAATTTGTGTTCAGCAGAAGAAAAACTCGTACAGGTTTCGGAACAACATGAGGGTGAGTAAATTGGTGACTGTCATTTTTGTGTGGACTATCCCTTTAACTACTGTTGTACTCCGTAGAAGACAGAAACTCACAGTTTGGAATGACGTGAACAACAATGATTGGGTGGATTGTTTTTTTACAATACTGATATGCTTCTTTTTTTTTCTGAAATGTTTAGATTTACAAAGCAAAGAACTACTGCAAGGTCATATTGTACAAGTAACCTTTCTTTTAAGAAATATTTTGAAAGCATGCTGGGAAAACATGATTATCATCTCTTACTCACGTCAATTTAATCTCTCTTTTTTTTTTTCCCTGCAGCCAAATACAGAGAAGAGTTCAAACTCATCATTGATAGAATTGCTGTGGTGAAATCTGAGAATGTGAGTACACGTGTTGTCAGATCATTATTGCAGAGTTTAAACTAATTAACTCCTCCCTCTGTCTCATTAAATAATCGTTAGTGCATTGTTGTGTTTGTAATGCGATCGTGTTTATTCCCTGTCCCTGAAGAATAGTCGCACAGGTCTCTATTCCCACAGTGATTCATTAGTTACTCTGTGACTGGGATAGGTCTCATTTTCTCACATCAGTGTTATACCCCACACCCTTATGATCATGGACCATTGTCCTAGACGTGTACTTCCCCTCGCAAGAGATCCTTTTCCATCTAAAATGAAAATCCCCTTTTCCAGCCATAAGTGGCATTCAAAAGTTTGGGTTCGGTAAGACTTTGTGGTTTTGAATAGAAGTATCTTATGCTCACCAAGGCTGCAGTTATTTGATAAAAAATACAGTAAAAAATTTCTGTTTTATTATATTTTGAAATTTGATTTATTCCTGTGATGCAAAGCTGCATTTTCAGCATCATTACTCCAGTCTTTAGTGTCACATGATCCTTTCAGAAATCATTCTAATATGCGGATTTGCTGCTCAAGAAACATTTCCTATTATTATCTATGTTGAAAACAGTTGTGCTGCTTCATATTCTTTGTGGAAAATGTGTTAAAAATGTCTTTTAAGATTCTTTGATGAATAGAAAGTTTGAAAAACAGTTAAAATCTTTTGTAACATTAGAAATATCTTTAATGTCACTTTTGATCAATTTAATAGGTCTCTGCTGAATTACTTGATTGATGCACTATTATTTGTATTATGATTGTGCTAAAGACACCAAAAATAAACATTTTTATCATCATTTATTCACCTTAACATTGTTCCAAATCCGTATGACTTGCTTCCTTCTGTGGAGATATTTTGCAAGTGTCCAAGGTTCTCTTTTTCATATCATAAAATCATTTCATTTCCTCAAAAAACATGCTCTATAATGCTATTAGTCTTCTGAAGGAGAGCTTTGGACTTTCGACAAAATATTTCATTTTGTGCTAAATTGTAAATTGAAGTCATTTTCATTTTTGGTTTACAATTTTTTTTAAATAACAGTTTGGAGGTAATGGGTCCTTTTTTTTATTTCAGGGAGAGAAATATCTCATTCTGAAGAAGAAGTATAGACAACTAAAACAAGAGCGAGAGCCTTGCGCTGGGGAATCAATCAAGCAGGTTCATCCCAACCCACAAAATGAGCTCCGGGTCTCTAATCCACGGCAGAACCATGGCCCAACAGCCCAGAAACAGCCAGCACTGGTGGCCTGGTGCTCAGGACCCATGATTACAGTCACAGAGGCATCAGAACCGACCCAGACAGATAATGTGAGTGAATCTTGATTGTGATATCCAATCTGTTTCAGGGCTGCAGACTAAAGTTTGAGAGTAGTGGCACCGGTGCCAATAAGTTCTACAGATGATGGCGCCGGCACCTGATCTGGTATGGCACTTGGGGGGGAAAGAGTTTTATTCATAAAGGTAATTTAATCATAAAATGACTATTGTTTTGCATTAATAAGTGCAGCAACTAATAATATTACATGTTTATTTCTTGTAAATGCACATTTTATAGTGAAAAATTTAAATATTCTTTTCATTTTTGGTCATCACATTAAAAATAACATTTAAATTAGATAATATTTATAGCTTTGAAATGCTGGAAAAAGTGAACTTGAAAGTCCTTGAAAAAGGCTTGAATTTTACTCTTAAAATGGAAAATGGAAATGGAAAATGGACTGCATTTATATAGCGCTTTCACAGACCCAATGGCCACCAAAGCGCTTTACATATTGCCTCACATTCACCCATTCACTCACTCATTCATACACCGACGGCGGTGTCAGCCATGCAAGGCGCCATTCAGCTCGTCGGGAGCAGCTGGGGTTAGGTGTCTTGCTCATGGACACCTCGACACTTGGTCAGGTGGAACCGGGGATTGAACCACCAACCTTCCAGTTTGTAGACAACCTACATGAACCACTGAGCCACTCCCGCCCCAAAGTGGCTCAGTGGTTAAAAGGCTGTACGAACCCTGAAATGAATCGTTTAAAAACATTCAACTATTTCTGCCACGATACCATGGTTACAGTTAGCATTACTACATTAAATCCATGACGAATGTTGGTGATTTGTGGAATGAAAAGCCTTATATAACTTGTTTGTTCATGGCAAAAATGTTTTTCCTGGTTTCCTTTGGTATTTGAATGCTTCCCTTCCCACTAGATTTTACAGTGATATTACTGTGGCGAATTGAAATGCTTTTCAAATGTTTTACTGCTCATCATAGCATTAGTAAAATGGGCCTCACAGATCAGTGACCAGCAGCATTGGGGGTGACGCATTACAAGTAACATGCATTACGGAATCAGATTACTTTTTTGACTTAAGTAAAGTAAAATGCATTACTTTATAAATGTTTACATGTGTAATGCTTGTTTGCGTAAACATTTTTCAAACTTCTGAACATCAAGCTTCAGCCAGGTGAGAAAAAGTAACACAAAAGCAATGTAACATTACTTTCCATAAAAACGAAGTAGTTACTAGAAGTAACTACTTACTTTTTAGGGAGTAACACAATAACTTTTTTCCTGGTGACCAGTTTCGTAACATTCATGTTGTCATAAATGACACATCTTGACGTCTTGTGATTTTACAAAAAAAAAAAAAACATAATGGAGAAGAAGAAATGAGAAGAACTAAAGAGGAATCTGGCTGAGTAAGTTGACCGCAGTATTTCAGTAATATTTCGTGATGTGACGTAATTAAACATAATATTTAAAGCTCTGCTTTCCAAATAAGTGAGTTATTATTGTCCAAGTATGTGTCATAGTCTCAGTAAGACAGCATGAAATGTTCGCATCAACTAAAGAGCATCATAATATAAAACTCTTGTGAAATTCAGGTCTTTATTAATCATTTTCCTGGATATCACCCAGAATCCAGTGTTTTCCTCATACTGTTTGCTAAAGCTTTTTTAGCTGGATTAAAGAAACAGCTGGTGATAAGAGAAAGCTTGTCAAAAGCAGATAACACTGTTTCAGTTGCCTTATCTTTAGCTGTGGGACTTCAGCTGTTGAAAGCATTATTTTGAACCTCATATTGAGACTTACGGCAAGGGAGAGTATCGTAAGCATGTACAATTGAATTTTTGGAATGATTTGTTTTGCTTGGTTTCAAGATCATCTTCATATATCTTTGAAGCCTTGAAGCATCTTTAGATCATATTTCAAATCTGGCATCTCCATTGATCTTAACAAAACAACTACTGGGTCTGTGCACAATGTCATTGAGTATATAGGTTAAAGAATTTGCATATAGCAAAACATTCACATTGCAACACTGTCAGTATGATTTATATGTGAAAATTACTTGAAAGTGGGATATATCTCTCTATAAAGGTAAACATCTTAAGCATAGCTATTTTGAGAATCGATGACAGGGTTGTTATAGTTAACTAAAAGAAAAACTATTAAAAACATTGTTGTTAATTGAAAAAAAAGCTGAAATAAAATTAAAAATACGAATATTAGTTGAAAAAAGAATGAAATGTTGCCTTGGCACAAGTGCTAAAATTACTACTAAAAAAACTAAATTATATAATACATGAAACCATATAGTAAAAAAACAACAACCAAAACCCACATGACGAATTTATTAAATTAAAATAAATAAAAATAAAAATATAAAAATAAATCTAATTCAAAATATGAATAAAAACGATGATAGCATATAAATAATACTGGTCGAGCAGTGGCAGTTTCACCCACGCATGGAGCGCATAAGTTCAACACACAATAGTGTGAATTTCCTGTCAGCACTTATTTCAGCCACATTGAAATTGTGTCTAGAAAACTGTTAAACAGACAAACTGTATGAAAGTGGCTGCATTTATCTCTGGGCAATGAAACACCATCTATAGTTTGGCTTTCCTGATCTCAGAATAAAGAGTGGATGTCTTCTATAGATGTCTACTGAGAATGCATTCGTACTGTGGCTTAGAGAGCTCAACGTGCTGCTACTGAAGACATGCAAAATAGAAAAACACCAGCAAATTAAGAAAACATCTTCATCAGTTTGACTACACACGTGCTGCAAATACTCACAATGCAGCCAAATACAGAAATGCACTACAAATACTCACAACTAAACCAAATACAGAAACGCATTGCAAAAGTTCACAACTCAACCAAATACAGAAATGCGCTGCAATTACTCACAACTAAACCAAATACAGAAACGCAATGCATATACTCACAATGCAGCCAAATACAGAAATGAGCTGCAAATACTCACAACTAAACCAAATACAGAAACGCAATGCATATACTCACAATGCAGCCAAATACAGAAATGAGCTGCAAATACTCACAACTAAACCAAATACAGAAACGCAATGCATATACTCACAATGCAACCAAATACAGAAATGAGCTGCAAATACTCACAATGCAACCAAATACAGAAATGAGCTGCAAATACTCACAACGCAGCCAAATACAGAAACACACTGCAAAAGTTCACAACTCAACCAAATACAGAAATGCACTACAAATACTCACAACTAAACCAAATACAGAAACGCATTGCAAAAGTTCACGACGCAGCCAAATACAGAAATGAGTTGCAAGTACTCACAACGCAGCCAAACACAGAAACACACTGCAAAAGTTCACAACTCAACCAAATACAGAAATGCGCTGCAATTACTCACAACTAAACCAAATACAGAAACGCAATGCATATATTCACAACTCAACCAAATACAGAAACGTGCTACAAATACTCACAATGCAGCCAAATACAGAAATGCACTGCAAATACTCAAAATGCAACCAAATACAGAAACGCATTGCAAAAGTTCACAATGCAACCAAATTGTTGTCAGTGGTGTTGTTGATGACCTGAAAAGTTGTTTGTGTGTGTTTAATTTAACATCCTAATCGTATGTACATTGTGAGTATTTGCAGCACATGTGTTGATCAAGTTGTTTTCTTAAGTTGCTGGTGTTTTTCTATTTGCATGCCTTTTCTCCAGTTGCAGCATATTGAGCTCTCTCAGCCACCGTACTTTTGGCCCATGAACTTGATGTTTTGTCAGCATCAGCTGATTTGAGTGCAGTAAAGTGATCCTTCCCAATCCCAAGTGATCTTAGTGAAACTTCTCCTTTTCTTGTGATCAGCAGTCAGACAGCACCCTCTCACCGCCAGCAGAGGCAGAGAAACCAGAGCATCTGACGGAGGAGCTTTCAGCGTCAGACAGAGAAGATGAACTCGACAAGGATTCGGGGTCAAAGGTTAGAGCCAAGTAGCTCAAGTATCCTTATCTGTTTTTATGTTTTTAATTGATCACAGACTATTTAAGATGTTTGGTTTGCTTTGTCTAAAAAAGAAGAACTGGTAATGATCTTAGATCAAGCACTGAACATAGAAGGCTCAGGATGTATTAGTTTAATACCTTTAAAAATGCATAAAATGCATTTCATACAGACAATGACTTCTACATACTTGTTTCGTGATTTAACATGATTCAGATGTCTTAACTTATTTTAATGTTTTATCTTAAAAGAAATATTTCTAGGAGGCTTTACCATCTTTAATTAAAGTAGTAGTAAAATTATTTTTCTAATTTTTTAATATACTAGTATACTATAATATTTAAAATACAGTAAATACAAATATATAAAGTAATTTGGCATCATATTTTATTATTGTCTTAAAAAATAACAAGTGCAGCAGTTTTATTTTAAAATAAGAACATTTAAAAACTTCCAAATGTCTGTTAAATTAAAGTTTTATGTAAGGGTTGTGCTGTCAACATGCAAGAAGCCCTCTTGTTGTTATGTGACAAGACCACAAAAACTGGAAATGACATCACAAAGATGCTGATTTACACTGATATAGTCTACATCCGCCATGTTATCATTATCATGTGACCGACCAGCGTCAGTCGCTTCACTGCCATCCTCTCTAGTGGCCTCATGGGATAGGAAAGTGTCCATCATATGCACACTTCAATCTCGCCGGAAGTAGTAGGTCATCCGGGTATTTTCACCTACTTTTTTATGAGTACTGTGAAGACACACTTCTTTTGTCACATACTGTTTTTCGCATACTATGTAGTAGGGAAGTATGCGATTTCAGTTGCAGCCATATAGATCAGTGGTGCCCACGGTAGACGCTTGCTGACTTCAGAACCGTGTACTTGCATACTATTCTTACTATTTCTGCCATAGAAAGATATGGTAAAAGTAGCATGAGTAGTATATTAGTATGTGCTTCCGAATTCAAGCTTTTTTTAAATATTCAGATTCAAATTCAGCTTGTCAAATTGTGAAACCCCAAGAAAACGTCATGATATTCATGATTTAAAAGAAAAGGTATTGAAAATATTTGAGAACTCTTTTGAAAATGATGATAGTAATGTGTACTCGCACAGGGTGTTGAATGTTATAACTTTATATTTGATTATTACACCCCTTCGAAACTTTTTTGAAATGTTTTCGATAACATGAAACCAGTATGAAGCCACATCAATATTACATGAAAATTACATTTATAAGAACATAGTACATTCTACATTTTTAAAAAAATATATTTTTCCTTAAGATAAACTGATTTTTTGTCATTGCTCTTATTTGCTCATCCTCATTTGTCATTCACTGAAAAGCTGGCACAGTAATTCACCACAAGAGCACCACAAACAAGCTGCTCATTTGATATCTGTAATATTACGACTTACCAAAAGGTGGCGCCAGAATAATTAGCTGGATTTGAGAGGCCATATTTCAGCCAGGGGTGACAGCATGAAAGACACGTTCATTTACATTTGAATGAAGCTTTCTATTGTTGTGCAAAACAGCAACATGCTCCACCTCATTATAGAGAAAAGTATCATCTGTGCCCTCCAAACATTTGTATGCAGATCAATCTGAGATGCGGCTAGATAAAGGCCAATGTTTTATTACGGCATAATGTTGGAACATGAGATTTGATGCTTTATTTTGATGCGTATTATTATTTTATTAATCATATTGAGTCTTTTTATATTTTGCTCTTAGAGCTTTAAGACATTGAAGGTTTTGTTTTCGCATTAAACGCTTCTCTTTCAACCACAACACTTGAAAGCCCTTCACGCCCGAAAGCTCTTTCCAAGAAGCGAGACAAAACTGAAGAGTCCTTCTTAAGAATTATTAATGTCATGCACTGAAGCTGAAATCATCTGCATAAAATATGGTTACATATTTTAATATTTTACAATGCAACAAATCTCTTTTGTTGTTGTATCCATTAGTGCGTTCGGGTTACGCTATACTGTGATTATTGCTTACCTTTCTGGTTGATTTTTTAGATAATAATAATTTTGCATGCAATTATTTAGTCACTCATATGCCCGGTCACATTCTTTTCATTCTTGTTTTAAAAAGGAAATATGTCTGGCTTAGTTCCTGTTTAAGCACAGGGAAACAAATATTGCTTGCAGTCTTTAGGAAAAGAGGACTTGTTAGTGTAGCCTATATAAAAGAGCTCAAGTGTTTTCCCACTGTCCGATCGGACACTCCATCGCTGTCCTGAGAACAATTAGCGAGCACTTGCACTGCAAAAATGACCCAACCGCTCCATTTTCCCTCTCATTAATCAGCGTGACTGACACTTTGGTACATAAAGAGAAATTCACCTTCTCTTTGGCTCACAAAGCGAGTGGATTCTGGTAAAACAGCGTACGATAAAAAAAGCAAAAGACATAGTTAGGGAAATTTGGCTAAGCTAATCGTTCACCTCTGGCTCTCACGGGTTTAAAGCATTTTTTAATGGTTGTGTGACCTGAGAAGAGGTCAAATTGGAGGAATTATCCTTTGTTTATACCGTCCTTCCATTTCAATGAGCCGATTTGTTGTGTTTTTGAGGTTAACGTCCCTGGAAGTTTTGTTTCTAGTATTCAGTGTAAGTCTGCGTACTGATAAATAGAGCGGCATTATGGGTGTTTCCTGTATTTGCTGTGTTAACTGCATCTTTGTTGGGGCCTATTAATGTCTTTGTGGGCTGTTTACCTTGTTTATTTGCTACCAAAGTTGTTTAATTCTTGACAGCGCTGGGTTTCCCTCCCCTCATATCTTAAGTACAGAACAGGAAGAGGAAGCACGTGGCTGCCGAACCCAAACGCCCACTCTAGCATCTCAGATTATTCATGTTACTAACTGTACAGTTTCACACTGACGACTCCGTGTTCCAGGTGATACTTCCAGGTGGTTTTGTGAGTGATTTCAATCGTATCATATCCTGTTTCTTTCCCAGAGTGAATCTGAGCAGGATGAGGATTGCGGGGGCAGTTTGGGATCCACCGCTGTGGCTGTGAGTATAATAAATCATACACACATTAGAAGAAACATTTATTATGATATAGTTACAGTAAAATATCTATTGTTTCTGTAGTTACTGTTGCTACAATAAACTGTGTTTTTTTTTATCCACCACTGTCATCAATTAAACCATAAAACAATTGCTAGACTGTCTTTAAGAGATCCAATATTCATTTATCAGTATTTTGACAGTAAAAAAAAGGGATTTTGTGCCCTTAAGACACTTAACCTCAGATTACTCTAAGTTTCTCCCTGTAAGAATTACTGTCAGTTGCATACGATAAAAGCATCTCCTAAATATTATTTACTTATTTTTTTGGTGGAATCAAATAGATTTACCATGGTAAATGTTTTGAATTATGTGGACTTTCTGAAGGTTACTTGGTAAGAAGGCATTTGCTAGGACAATACACTACCATGTAAAATTTTGAGGTTATTTGAATACTTTTATTTAGTATAAGGACACATTATATTAATCAAAAGTGACAGTAAAGACATATATAATGTTACATAATATTTTTATGCTTTTATCTTTCCACTCAAATCATTTAATACATTAAATATTTCATCAAAGACATAATATTTTTCCAAATTTCTTTTCACTTTTTCTTCTTCTACTTTCTTTTCATTTCTTTTGTGATAATACCCACCACCAAAACATAAAAAAGCACATAGATAAATGTTACAAAAGATTTATGTTTCAAATAAATGCTTTTTTGCCATCAAAGAATCCTGAAAAAATGTATCATGGCTTCCAAAAAGATATTAACTGATTTCAACCTTGATAATAATAATAATACATGTTTCTTGAGTATCAAATCAGCATATTAGAATGATTTCTGAAGGGTCATGTGACTCTGAAGACTGTAGTAATGATGCTGAAAATTCACATTTGATCACAGGAATAAATTACATTTTATAATATATTATTCAAACAGTTATTTTAAATCGTGATAATACTTCACAATATTCTTGTTTTTACTGTATTTTGATCAAATAAATGCAGCCTTGGTGAGCGTTAGAGACAAAAACATAAAACATCTTTAAAAACCCAAACTTTTGAACTGTAGTGTAAATGTAACTAGAAATGGGACTATGAGTGAGATACTGAATATTTGTAACATTTGTTTTCAGTGTAATTTCAATAATGTAAATGGCTTCTCTTGTTTATTTCATTCATAGCTGGATCCTCTTGAGAAAGAGTGGATCTTCTCGGCAGCAAGTGGCAAACTGTCTCATCTCATTCAGCTCCTGAAACAAGACTCTTCTCTGGCCAATAAAAAGGTGAAGAGAGCTTTATATTCTCTCCTAAAATGTCCTGTGTCGTATAATGTGTCGCTCTCCGCCCGAATGCATAAATGCCTTATATGATTAGAATGCATACATCTCATATCATGAACTCACTTTTAATAATTAATGTTTCTTGGTCTTTTCACATGCTTGGAACAAACCAGGACTTTACCTCAGTAAGTTTGCAACCAATCATACAACACTACACTTACTCTACCAGCTAAAAGTTTGGGAATGCATGCTTAAATTAATGCTTCTCATGATATTAAAAACTTCATTATATGATCTAATAATATATATATTATATATATATGTGTGTGTGTGTATATATATATATATATATATATATACACACACACACATACACACGCACACACACACACACACACACACACACACACACACACATATATATATATTATATATATATATATATATATATATATGCGTGTATATATATTTCTGCTTCAATACTGTTTTAAATGCATCCTAGGATGCAGCTCGTGTTTAAAAAAAAAGATGTTATCAATACATACATTTGTGATATTTCTAGGTTTTAATGACTTGACTAATCTTCTAAAATTTCAGATGTGAAAAATGTTATCAATAATAATAATAATAATAATGAGTAGATGTGTCCAAACCTGACTGGTAGCGTACACAAGATCAAAACCTCTACAAGTATTTAGTGAAACCTGATTTTGTGATTGTACAACAAATTGTTCATTAATGGGGTTTTCTCTCTCTCTCTTTTTAAATTCTCCTGGATTTGTCTTCTAAAAGGGGGTGAGTTCAATTTTTTGTCGTCTTCCTTTTTTTAGTGTTGGGGAAACTGTTATATAGTTTTCCAATGCCAGGATCACTTTCAATCATGTTTTAGTACTTGTTGGAAAAGCTACATATAAGTAAGAAATAAAAATATAGTTAGTTCCTCCTCAACACGGTCTTTTTTTAAGCATCATTGCTTCAGTTCATTCGTGATGATCGGTGAGTCCGTTACAGTGCATGTGAATGTTTGCCAGCGCAGTGAGCAGCGTGTCGGCGGCGTACATGGTTATGGACCGCCGATTCCTTGTGGCTCCTCGCAAGGTTACCGACTTTCCACAGTTTCCACTCTCGTACCCAGGTGCAACACAGACCAAAGAGCAAAGCTCAACCCCAATCATGCATTTCAAAGGCTTATTTTCAGAAGGATTATGAAAGATAGCTTTTTAGCTCCTTCACCCCCCCAAAAACAAGCTCAAATCCTTTTATTTGTCCCCCCTGTGCGCTTAAGAGCTTTGAGTCGGTGTTTGTGGTCGCTGCCTGGGCCGGAGTTCTCACACTGTCCTGTGTGTCAGACCACCTTCTAAGAACCTCTAAGCCCTTCGCCTTCCCCGCGCAGACAAGATACAACGGCGGCCATTGAAGTGCGGGAAGATTAGGGCTCACCTCAAAGACTTTAACCACTTAAAGATAATCTGAAAGTAATAGAGCAGGCTGGGATTAATTGGAGAACAATCACCGCCATGTCCCCAGGAAGGTGGTATGTCTGACCCCCAGGTGGCTTTGATGCCCCCCTTCCTGAACCAAGAGGCATGCCAAGTGAGCCACCTCTTCTTGACTTGGTACAGGGCGACCGCGCTTGCGAGACGTCGGTTTAAGAGGTCATCCGACTTCTTTTCTGGCATTTTGCCTTCTACCACTGTAAGAGAAAACTCAAAAACTTTGCGTTAAATGCCCCGATATACAAAACAAAGTTCGGTTGGAGTTTGTTTCTGAAGTTCGAAGCAGCTTTCCAAAGCGAACTTTCAGGTAAAATTCACTCTGGCTGGTAAACGCCTTCAAACTACCATTGGTCCATGGCAATTATGTAATAGATGGGTGTGGCTCTGAGGCTCCGCCCTCTTTGTCGTGGAAGTTTTCTCCAGTTCATCTCTTCTGTTTAGTCTATTGAGCTCAGACGTCCGCAAGTGAAAACATGAACACTTTAGAGCTGCTTTAAAGTAGAAATTGTAATTCTAAATGAAAGAGACACTGACACTGTTTTTTTTATGTTTAATGCTGTGAAGCTGCTTGCTTTTAAGCAATATATTGTATAAAGTGCTATATAAATAAACGTGACGTGACTTTACTGGAGTGCCAAATTGTAGAGATCGTGCAAACATATCCACATCACTATGATCAGATGCTTTCTTAACTGCTGTTTTCTCACCACTGTCATTTTTGTTGTTGAGAGGAAAGCGAGCAGCACATATTGACATATTCATCTAAACTCTGATCCCAAAAGCGTGGACTGCGTCGGGATGTTCGCTAACTGTATACTGACTTTTTACCCTTAACCTGAAAAAGTAAAACGCACTTTGCTGCGAGTATCGGGGGCTTTGCTTGCTCAACTTATAGAGAAATTGTTGTACCAACTTAATTAAAGTGGGTCTATGCTTTCGTCTAACACAATATAGTAAGTTCTATATACTCAAAATTAATGTTTTTTTTTTTCATTTGTAGATCCATGTTCAATCAGCTTGCATTTTAAGTTATACATTGACATTATATAATAGTAATTTAGAACTTTGTGCGTATCAGTTTTTTGAACAAACTTGAAAAGGTTATACAGAATTACTTCTATACGCCAAAGCAAGTTGTGTATATGTGCTGACAAAATATAATCAAAAACACTACATAGAGCGAAAACATCTATTATTTCTGAATAACAAATTTGTCATCATAAATCCCCATGCTTTGACCAAAAATACAAATTATTAAAGTGCATCAACGGTGATCAACCTGAGCATTAGATCTTAATGTTTAATCATTTAAGTTGGTCCAACTAAATGGCCAAAGAGATTACTTTGATTAACATTTTGTGTAGTCAACTTTTTCTACATTCGATAGTAGAGTTTGTCTCACAAAACAAAAGTTTTTTTTACAGTGTAGCTGTCAAAGATGCTCATTTTTTGCTGTCCTGGATGTTTTCTGACACCTCTATTGTTTAAGTCTTAAGTTTTAAGTAGCTAAGCTTTGCCTTTAGCCTCTCGGTCGCTAAAGTTACACATCACCCCGAGCCCGTAACCCGACACAACACGCATTATCTCTGTTTTCCTTTCACACGTTGGAAGCTCCTTTGGGGGAAAATTCCAATTCAACCTCTCGCAGTGAAGCCCATAAATAAACAGTCGCGATCTCAGATGCAATGTAAACACTGCTTCCTTTGAGCCACTCGAGCAGGGCCGCTCGCTTTCTGTCCACCAACAAGATAAGTGTAAATCTCTCTTTTTTTTTGTTTTTTTTTGTCTCCTTCTCCAACATGTCATCCTCTCCTGATGCCTCCCGGACTTCCTCCTTTCCCAGTTTGTGAGTACATCATTTATCCATCTCTCTTCTTTAAAAGCCGCAGTGAATATGTCTCTTTTGGTAGTCATCACAAAGGTGCTATTTGGTTAGTGAGAGTTGAGGGATCCCCGCCAGGCCAAAACAGGAACCTGAGGAACAAGGGTAGGAGACGTCACATCCTGTTGACCGTCGTCCGTCACGCCGAGCCTCCATGAGACCTGTCGGGCTGTCAGTCAAGCATGTGTGCCAGCCAATCCATCTCAAGGGTGCGACAGTGGAAACAATAGAGCGGCTGATAGGGGAACCAGACTTCATCTATCACAATATGTCCTGCGAGCCGGACTGGAAACACCTACAGTAGACAGGACCCTCCCTTTAGTACAGAACATGTGCTTAAGAATACACAATAGTGGAGATATGTTGCGTACTGTGTACAGATGAAAACGTGCGCGTACAAAAACATGTGTCATGTGTCACGTGACTTCGGTCAACGTGTAGGACCTAGTTAATAAAAACAATTTTTCGGCCTTTTCTTAAATTTGGTCAGTTACTAAAATCATAGTTGATAGGCGCTGCTTCAGGTTCATATGCTGCCATTTTAAATGTATCGTTTTAAAGAAATTATTACTTTTATTCAGCAAGGACACATTAATTTGATCAAAATTGACAGTAAAGACTTTTATAATGTTACAAAATCTTTTTATTCAAAGAATAATCAGCATATTAGAATGATTTCTGAAGGATCATGTGACACTGAAGACTGGAGGAATGATGCTGAAAATTCAGCTTTGATCACAGGAATAAATTCCATTTTAAAATAGAAAACCATTATTTTAAACTGTAATAATATTTCATAATATTACTGTTTGTACTGTGTGTTTGATCAAATACATTGAGCTTTGGTGAGCAGAAGAGACTTTTTTTTTAATCTTACCAACTTCAAACTTTTGCACGGTAATGAATGTTACACTGGAAATGGACACTCACTTAGAGCTTATTGCATTGTGGGATACATTATTCTTTATGAAAATATTCCTAAAATAGCCAGGTCATGCAACTAAAAGCATTATGATACATTTATATATAATATATATATATAGTAATATCAGCGGAAATAGCTTAAAGTAAATAAGTACTTATGATTCATATGCAATCAGTGTTAAAATGGTATTTTTCGCAATGCAATAAAATGAGTGAAACAGAAAATTCATTGGTAAAAAATGTTGGTCAGATAGTTTTATTCTGTGCTTCATATGTGCTACATACAGCATGAATTTCTTATTTATTTTAGAATCTTATTTATTCACTTTTAATTTTTTGTATTCCTTCAATATTCTTTTAAAAGCATCCAAGGATGCAGCTTATGAAATTGGTTGAGAGGTTTGTTTTAACATTCCAGAAACAGAAAAGGCATCACATGAATGCTTTTAACCTGTTAATGGAGATTATGAGATTGCCTTTTGTCTAACTTTATCTCTGTTTTGAATAATCTTTTCAGCAACAGAAAATTCTGCGGTAAATAATGTAGGCTAGAACTGAATTTGATTGGATTGTGAACATCCAGCTGTGATTTCTCCACCCCCACGTGACCCATCTTACATCAGCAGAAAAGTTTTAAAAAAGCATTTCAGATGCAGAGAAAAGTTTACATTTTGATGCTGTTTGATATCTTTTTTCTTCAGAATAACATCCCCTGAAACATTGTGAACAGCACCACCACATTAAAGCGGTTGATTTTGATATGTGAAGAGTTCTGATAAAGGAGGTGTGTCGCTCAGGCTGAGATCAATAGACATCACCTCCATTCTCCGTGTCTGAGAGTGTCGGGCGTTTAGAAGCTCCAGCATCTGAGCTTGTGTGTGGTGTGCGGCCCCTTCTCCTCTTGACAGGCCTTGTCAACAGGCTGATGCCTGGGTGGGTCCTCCATCAGAGGGTCATACCAACATCATCAATCTTGCACCCCGTGACAGGCCTGTGCTCCCCCCGCAGTGGGCACACTGGTTTGTTGTTTTGTAATTAGACCGCCATTAGATGGCAGGAAACCGTCCCCTCCACACCCTCTGTGCACAGCTGGGGCCCGCTGGCAGCCTATGGGAGCCACGGGTCGCTCCACCGCGTGGCGTTAGGGGGGTGGGGATCTACCTAGTGGGAGAGAATGAACATGCGGAGTGTAAATGATGTATTACAAGATGAATCAGATGGGTTGACGATCATGTACTAGCTCAAACAAGCTGGTCAAACAACCAATATGAGGATTCAGATTGACCGTGATGACCAAAAGTCTAAGACCACACAAAAAAATATATATATATATAAGAGTTTAATCCTAAAACTGTTTAATCATTCTGTCAATTTTTAAACAATTTGAAAAATGATTGATTAACAAATGATATATATATTTTTTTTTAAAATTAAAACATATGAGAATTATGTAGTGACCAAAAAAATGTTAAACCAATCCTTTCAAACTATTTCATGAGCTGCACCCTGGGATGCTTTTAGAACGATTTTAAAGGAGTTAAAAAATAAAAAAGTGAAGTGGTTTGAATTGAGTGAATAAGTAAAATGAATAAATATTTAAAATAAAAATAAAAAAAATGATTGAAATAAAGTAAAATAAATAAATATTAAAATAAAAAGTAACAAATAAATATAATGAATAAATAATATTAGAAGGAATATTAGGATTCGGCACAATTTCTAGTTTAGATTTAATAATTAAAATGAATAATTGAAAGAATAAATAAAATAAATATTAAAATCTATAAATTATGTTTGAAGAAGGAATACGTAAGATTCTGGACCATTGTGATGCATTATCCATTGTAATAAATAATAAAAAGAAATTAATTAATGAATAAATACATTTTATAAAAGGGTAAAATAAATATCAAGATATAGGAAAAGAAATATAATAATGAAATAATTATAATTACATGATGATTTTGCACGATTTCTTGGTCAAATGTAAGCAAATTCGTGACACTAACCATGTTATCGGGAGGTCATAGATCATACTTTGTACAGGAGGATGTTATTTAAATAGTTATGTTATATTTCATGTATTCATATTTCAATTGTAATGTTTCAATATCTCTTACAGACAGCGCTACACTGGGCTGCGAAACACGGTAAAGAAGATATGACCACAGTGTTGGCGGAAGCAGGAGCTGACATCAATACGAAGGCAGTAAGTACAGATATTACTCAAAAATATATTCATTTTGAGTCAAATACAAAATATGCATATATGCCCACACTCCAATTCATTCATTCTTGTGTCTCTTTTTCTCTCACAGCATGTAAGTACTCCTCACCTTACACTCACCCTGGATGTGACGGCACGCATAGGTTAATGTTTCTCACGTGTGTGTCAAGCTGCCAGAAAGTGTGCGTTTTTCAAATGTCCGCTTCTGACATAACTCCTCTGAAAGGGTATGTGGGTGCCCAGCTGTGCAAATGAATCCAGGCGCTGTTTGAGAATGTCTGTTCATAAATCAAACTCTGTCATGTTAACAGCTTCCCTTAAACAATGTCTTCATGTATTCCAACAGCAGGCTCAGAGCAAAGCAATTTCACTGAATTACCAGGCAATTATGATTCTGTCATTAGATTTTGTTGCTGTAACCTCAGTTAATTTGTGTCCTGTCTTTCTCTCCCCCTCTTCTCTTCTTTCTGTCGCTCTCTGATTCTCTTGTGATATGTTTTTTGTATTATTATTGGGACATGGGCACTAGGGGGTGAGTGTCGAATTCCCTTCACCCCGTCAGTTTCCTTATCATTTCTGATTTGTGGTGAGATTTATCACTAGAGATATTTAAAATAGATAACCTTTTTCTGTTTGGGTGAATGTCACACATAACATTATCACTCCAAAATCAAAAGAAAATAGTAAAAATATATTATATTTAAAGGTACGCTATGTAACTTTTGGACCTCTAGATTTAAAAAAAAAAAAAAAAACTGCATGCATTTTAAGGAAGAACATTGTTTTGGTTGAGGCTGCGGAGCAACTTTACTATATTTATGGATATGACGAGACACGGACGGGCGAGTGATGCATGTACGCAATTTCCCACGATAAACCATCCCAACAGGTCTAAAATATAAACGCTTATAATAAGCGTACCATAGTGAATCAGGGTAAGACAAAAACGTTTTATAAGAAGGATTGATGATGTATTGACTATTTAAATTCTGTTCATTTTTAATAATATCCAGGGCTTGACGTTAACACCCACCAACCCGGCAAATGCGGGTGTATTTCAGCAGTGGCGTGTAACGCAGTCACTTCTACTAGCCACTTTGGCGGCTTGAATTTTATATATAATATACATTTTTCAATTGTAGTCTTTTAAAAAGGCATCTGAAATCAACTAAGAGCAACTAAGATTTTTCAATACATATCGATACTGAAATATCTGAAACGCTTCCAATACTCATTTTCCGCAGAAACGATACACGACACCAGCTGAGCTTTCTCTCTCTCTCATCTCTCCGACAGCGAGTTACACACAAACCCGCCTCCCCTCACTCACTCGATTCTTTTGCTCCGGATGAATATTGTTGGATACAGGGCTTGAATTTCGATGTGGGATTGCGCGCATTGCTCATAATTAGACTCATTTCGTGCTTACACCCAAAGTGCAGGACATAAAGCCGCTTCTCAGTACTTAATAGTTATTTTTTCGCTGCTTATTGCGCTTAAACAGTCAAAGACACAAAATAATGTTAAAAAGTCGGTCTTGGTGGGTATTCACGTAAACGCAGTCAGTTATGTTTTAAGTGAACGTAAACTGTTGAGAAAGAAAACGCATGTGTAACAGTATATTAGGTGTCAGGTCTTAAAGTGACAGCAGCCTAATATTCCTGCTGCCAAATTTCGAGATAATATTAAAAATATCTATATGGCAGATTTTCCCCATGGTACTGATGTCAAAACTTTGGAAAACCACTAGTCACAGTGGCGAAATCTGTGACAATGAGTAAAATGGGCTAAATTCTCATGAAAATGTCACCGTGCATCTTCATAGTTAAGATAATGGCATTTATTTTTGTAAAATATACACTACCGTTCAAAAGTTTGGGGTCAGTGAGAATTTTATTTTTATTTTTTGGAGGAAAGAAATCAATACTTAATTTGATCGAAAGTGACAGTAAAGACATTTATAATGTTACAAAAGATTCTATTTCAAACAAATGCTGTTCTTTTGAACTTCCTATTCATCAAAGAATCCAAAAAAAAAAAAAAAAAAAACTGTACAACTGACAGACCAACAACTGTTTCAACATTGATAATAATAATAAATGTTTCTTGAGCATCAAATCCTCATATTATACTGATTTGTGAAGGATCATTTGACACTGAAGACACTGACACTGGTGATGCTGAAAATTCAGCTTTGATCACAGGAATAAATTACACTTTACTATATATTCACACAGAAAACAGCTGATTTACACTGGAATAATATTTAATACTATAACTGATTTTTGTTGTATTTTTAATCAAATAAGCGCAGCCATGGTTAGCAGAAGAGAATTCTTTCAAAAGTATTTAAAATCGTACCGACCCCAAACTTTGGAACGGTAGTGTATAGATTTAATTATTTTGATTTTGAGGTGAAATATGATCTAAATGCTCTTGACAGATTCTTATTCTCACAGGGATACACACCTTTACACATTGCAGCACTGCACGGACATCGACATATATTTGACCTGCTGGTTAGGACATATGGTAAGTATTTTCTTCACAAACATTGTTGAAAATTGTCCGTTTTTTAATTAATCTGGTTCATTCAAGAATGTCTGTTTGAATTCATTTGAAAGCAGACTTCATTTTACATTTACATTTCATTAACATGTCAAATGTTGTTCCAGTAAAGCAAATTCTTCCTGATATATCAGATGAATAATTTACCATATTTCACTGCATTTGAAGTAACTTTATTGAAATATTTGTTATTTATTTTGTAACTTAATTCGCAAGATATTTTCCCTTTTACAACAATCAACATGTTTGGTTGACATGCAACTATTTATTTAATTATTTACGTGTGAAAAAACATGCAAGTCATTTTTAGAGAGCAAAAAATAATGACGGGTTACATTGTCATTTGCTGTCTTGTTTATCATTTACTTGTTTATTGACTGTTGTATAAATGCAGTATCACTTGTAATTGTGCTGTTGAACTGAATCTTAATGCTTAATTTGCTCAATTCAACCTTGCTGAAATGTGAACATGTTCACAGGAGCTAAGGAGAACCTGCGGGACTACAGCGGTCGCCTAGCGTATCATTACCTCCATTTACGGGATACACGATTAGAAGACCATGAGCTATGTGAGTCAAACTTCATTGTTTTTTTATGCATAAATGCACTGTAACATGTGGGTGTTTAGTCCATTCAGACCTGTGGCACATGTGGAACAGCAGCACTGAGGATGTTTTCCACATTAGCGCAGGCATGTGGTTTCTCTGAATCTACGGGGTGCCTCGTGGATCAATTTTAGACTGTTTGTCTTCACCCTATTTGTCCCTCCAGCATGTTATTTCATTCACAGTGTGGTCTTCTTCTTAACTCTGCTTTGATGTTTCTTCTCCAAGCTGAAGTCAGCGAGTGCCACAGTCTAACCCAGGCTGGAGAGCGCAGGAACAGGAAGATCACGTCATTATTTCACTCCATGAAGAAGTGGGGATCAGCGGAGGAGCTCGCGGCCGTACCGGAGGAGAGGGCCGTTGCTCATCAGCTCATGCTGCCTGCGTTTAGGCCCAGAAAGTTCTCACGGTAGACTGTGTGACGTCAAAACATCTTCAGTTTTTGCTATAGTGCCAATCGGATGGTTTACAGATGAAAACGCACTTGTTTTCTTTGCTGCTTTTTTTCACACAAATAGTATGATGAAGTTACATTGACATTTTAAGTAGCAATTTAGCTTAATAATAGTGTTATGCCACAGCAGAATGTGACATGTTGTAGTGTAATGTCTTCTGTTCTCTGCTCTACTACCTGTTCAATTAAGAGGTTAAAGATGTACAACTTTTACTGAGCAATGAAACGATGCATTTTAAATTACCCTACATCGCACGATCCAAAGTTTTTAGCAAGTATGAAGAACTCGGTTTCACAAAATATGTCAATGCTTTACTCTCTCTCTCTCTCTCTCTCTCTCTCTATATATATATATATATATATAAAACTTTTCTCTATTTGCGGATATGATGAGACATGAGACGTGTATGTACACAATTTCCCACAAAAACCATCCCGACAGGTCTAAAATATAAATAGGCTTATAATATGCTTACCATAGTGAATCAGGGTAAGACAAAAACACATTTTGGAAGAAGGATTTATGATTTATTCACTCTTCATTCAATTTTTTTTTAATTTTGAACAAAAAAGTTACATAGTGTATGTTTGAGTTCCATCTTGAATATATTCGCCTTATTTTATTTGCCTTATCTTCACCTTACGAAACTTAAAAGTCAGAACCACAGTTTATGGCTGTGTGAGAATGTACCACAAATACCCTATTTTCATATTGTGTGTGTATATATAGCATATCAATAAACAATATAAAATATTTTTTTTTTTAAATCAGTTTACATTAAAGCAAAAAAAAACTGTTTTAATTATCTTTCAACAAAATGTAATGACTTGCTCTACCTTTTGAAATATCTTTTCTGTTATGATGATGTTTCAACAAAATGTAATGACTTGCTCTATCTTTTGAAAAATCATTTCTGTGATGATGATGTAACCAAGGCTCTGTGGGCCGTGAAAAAATAATATCAGCCAATAATATCCCAGCCAAGTATTTTACAATTCGATCTAATCCCTATGAAAATTGATTTCCCACATATTTAAATGTATAATTTTATACATTTTAAATCCTTTGCTAAAGCCGTTTCTTTTATTTTTGCTGTTTTTGTCTCTAACTTTGTTTTTAGCCCATTTTTATGTTACATTTCTTTTGCATTCCAAAGGGGTGATGTTGAGTAAATCTACTAGTTTGTGCCTTAAGTCTGATGGTGTCTTTCATGTTACCTGAATGTTTATTTGCATAATGTAAATTATTTTCTCTTATATAACAGGACAAATAAATTGTACTTTGGATAACGGGTGCTTTTTGTCCCCCCCTGTTCATTATTATGTGATTTTCCTCTAATTGTTACAAGCTTCTCCCCATCCCCCCCCCCCCCCCCCCCCCCCCCCCCCCCCCATAAAGTTCACACATCTGAAGTGTTGAGCTCCAGTCTCCCACCTTTCCTCTGGGCTCTTCCCATAATCTAGCATGCCGGCTCTTTCATCACTCTCGTGGATCACCCTAACAAGATTACACCCTATCAGATCTTCCACCTCAGTCACGATCCCCTTCCCTCGCACCTTCCCAGCGACACCCGAGAAAGAAGAAGAATAAAAAACAGTTCCTCGGTTCTTTTCTCCTCTCCTCCTTTGATTCCCATCTCCAATATGGGCCAATATGGGCCCTGGCGGCCCTCCGTAAGGTCCTGAGCCCTTAATTCCAGCTTAGTCGCAAAAGGCCAGCGCTTGCTTTCGGGTTTTGGGTATCACAGAAGTGAGAGGGAAGACAGGCAAGTGATTTTGTGCTAGCTCTTTCCTATAGGGCATGGGGGTGTTTGAAGGATAAGAGGAACTTGCTGTAATAGATACTTATCTGACTGCCCCGCAGTCCTCAAACACGCTGCTCCTCTGAAGAGATTAGAACCCAGGGAGGGCACATTAGCTCTAATCCCGTGCTTTGAGGGCTCTGCCCCACCCCACGCCCCACTTATTCTTGCCCCTTCTGTTGCAGGGGGATACCTTGTATCTGGCCCATGTGTAAGGGGAGCCTGTGGCTACACAGGAGGGGGGTGGAGGGTGTGTGTGTGTCTGCGTATGCGGTGAAAAGCACGGAGAGGCCTCTACTGCTGTGTAACTGATTCCCAGCTCTCTGAAGAGATTAGGCGCTACATTGTTGGTTTGGTTGCTCATTTCCATCTGAGGGCCGCTCCCCCTGCGGTTAAGGGCCGCCATTGTGCCGGGGAGGGGGAACTGAAACCAGCAGCTCAAGGCCTCCAGCTTCCTTGTAGTCTTTGTTTTACAAATGACCCAAAATGTAGATGTCATGTCACAGATGCCTTACAAGCACACCAGGTATTGATTGTGAGGAGAGAACAGCCGCATAAGGAGTGCATTTGTTAAGCGAGTCTCGCTTCCGCGCGTTGATACCGCATGAGTTTCCTCAGCTTTCTGATCACTAATCATCAATCATGCTCAATCTATACAGACGATTCATTTTGGATATATATATATATATGGGGCAGAGCCCTCATTTGACTGTCTGTCTTTTCATATTTCTGTATATATGTCTATCTGCCTGTCTAATACATTTCGATCTATCTGCCTGTATTTCTGTCTAGCTTTCTATATGTCTGTCTATCATTCTGTAGTTGTGTCTATGCTTATATTCTGTGCTCCTGACTATCTGTCCTATACATTTTGATCGATCTGCCTATATTTCTGTATGCCTGTCTATCTGACTATATATATATATCAATCTGTCTGTCTCTATCAATCATAATACATTTTAAAACCTGTCTTTCTGTCTCCATCTTTCTGTAATTCTGTCTATGCTTATATTCTGTTCTTATGTCTGTCTGTCTAAAACATTTTGATGTATCCATCTGTCTGCTTGTCTACCTGTCTTATATAGTAATAGATTTTGATCTATCTGTCCGTCTATGCCTATTTCTTTCTGTCTGTCTATCTGACTATTTTTTCCTTCCTTGTCTGTCTGTCTAATACATTTTGATATATCCGTCTTTCTCTCTGTCTTTCTCTCTGACTATGTCTATCTCTATCTGTCTAATACATTTTGTTTTTGATCTGTCTCTATCTTTCTATATGTCTGTCTGTCTATATACAGTAAGTATATCTTAATACATTTTGATGTGTCTGTCTACCTATCTATCATGCAGTTTATCGTTCTATATATCTATCTATCTATCTATCTATCTATCTGTATGTCTATCTGTCTGTCTATCTATCTATCTGTATGTCTATCTATCTGTCTACCTATCTATCATGCAGTTTATCGTTCAGTCTATCTATCTGTATATCTATCTATCGATCTGTCTATCTGTATGTCTATCTACCAATCTATCATGGAGTTTATCGTTCAGTCTATCTATCTGTATGTCTATCTATCGATCATGTATTTTATCGTTCTATCTATCTATTCTATATATCTATCTGTCTATCTATCTGTCTGTCTATCTATCTATCTATCTATCTATCTATCTATCATGCAGTTTATCGTTCAGTCTATCTATCTGTATGTCTATCTGTCTGTCTATCTATATCTATCTATCTGTATGTCTATCTATCTATCTATCTATCTATCTATCTGTATGTCTATCTGTCATGCAGTTTATTGTTCAGTCTATCTATTTATCATGTAGTTTATCGTCTATCTATCTATCTATCTATCTATCTATCTATCTATCTATCTATCTATCTATCTATCTATCTATCTATCTATCATGGAGTTTATCTTTCAGTCTATCTTTCTGTATGTCTATCTATCTATCTATCTATCTATCATGCAGTTTATCGTTCAGTCTTTCTATCTGTATGTCTATCTATCTGTCTATCTGTATGTCTGTCTATCTGTATGTCTATCTGTATGTCTATCTATCTGTCTATCTGTATGTCTATCTATCATGGAGTTTATCGTTCAGTCTATCTATCTATATGTATGTCTATCTATCTATTTGTCTATCTATCTATTTGTCTATCTATCTGTATGTCTATCTATCTATATATATATCTATATATCTATCATGGAGTTTATCGTTCAGTCTATCTATCTGTATGTTTATCTCTCTATCGTGTAGTTTATCGTTCTGTCTATCATGCAGTTTATCATTCAGTCTGTCTATCTACCTATCATGCAGTGTATCGTTCTATCTGTCTGTCCGTCGAATTGTGATGTTCTCTCTTTACTCTCTTGTTCTGTACTCTTTTGCAGCGTTCCAGTCTTTCATTCAGGCAGTAGAACACATAGCAGGAACCTGGGAGCCGCATGGACACTTAACACAGTATATTCTCAACCACACATACTGTAAGGATGCTCGTGTGGAAGGACCCCAAGCCACGGCACAAACTGTCACAGGCTAACCAACGCCACCTGTCACTCACCCCATGCGGGGGCTGTCAATCAAATCACACCCCAAAAGAGAAAGAGGAGTGGGCGGGACTGCTCCAGACCCCTAACAAAGGCATCCTCCCATTGGTGAGTACTTGCAATGTCACTTCTCTGTAAAGAGGAGTGATAGAGTGGGGCTGATAACACAAATGACAAAAGATAGATGGATAGTGGAGGGGGTGATTGATAGAGGGGAGGTGAGAAAGGCTGATAACATTCACGTTCAGCTAACTTCCCTCTGTTTGGGTCTGTGGCCTTGGCATAGCTCATTAGCTCTCAAAATGAGGGGTTTGAACACTAAAAACAACAGCATTGTTTCAGGTGCGCAACACTTCTACGAGGTCATGGCATTCAGAATGAGGCCGGTCTTGTCTTGAAATGGCCCACATCAAAGTAAACTTCTTTGTAAAAGGGCTAAGAGCAATTCAGACCACAAATGGACATTTATGTTTCTCCACACTGTAAAACAGTGCTTTGTCAACCTAAAACTGCATTTAATGCGGTAACATGCAAAAGACTCATAACCAGTTTTATTCATGTCCATATTAAAATGTTATTTGAATATAACTTATCATTTTAATCATTTTAAAAGTTCAGATTAAAGCTCCTTAAAGTAATTCATTTATTTATTTACATTTTTATTCTGATGAATTTTCTACAGTTCGCTGGTTTAGTAAAAATAGATTTGATGATTTCTTTATTAGCTGGTATTCTTTTAGATGTAACACTAACAGACTTAATACACAGTGTTTGATTTGATTTCACCAGGTCAGATTTGTAATGGTGCATCTCGCCACACCTCAGAACGGGTTGAAAAGGAACAACTTCCAGAAAGAAAAACTAACATGTAGAAGGTGTGAAACCCTCTCTGTGGATTCCCTTCATGCTTTTGTTAACAGGTCTTATTGACACCTGACTATTGGCCATTCTAATGACATGTTCAAGCCTTTTGTCTGCTCAGCGGTATGTGATGAGCGCTAAATGAAGTCACACCTCTGCCCATTGTCATTATCAGCTCATTAGGACACGCATACTTTGGTCAATGGACGATCCTCCCATTTGCAAAGAATTCCATTTGGGAAAAAAACAGAAAGTTTGGTTTTCAGTTTTGGAGTACCTAGACCAGTTTGGTTTGTCTTGACATGTTTAACCGTTGTATTTCCTC